AAGGTCTGTAAAGTGACAAAAAATGCTCCAAGTCAGAAAAAAAGGAGATTTTCTCTCACATTTTTTCAAACATGCAAAAATGTTGTCCAAAGTTGATCTTTGAGATGGGTGCCAAACATATTTATACCCAAGAGCATGAACAGTATTATTATAATTATTATCACTATGGAGGGCATTGAGAAAATAAAAACTGAAAACTATGACCACAAACAGTCTGAACAATCATGTGAGGGGGCAAGTCAGTTAAAATATGTTTAAGCCTGCCACAATCTCCATTTTAGCCCACAAAATGCCATATTATGCCCAACAAAGTGATAATAATATACCACATAAAACCTATACAATACAATTTATCTCATTTAATATTGATCTATTAGACTTTGGTACAGTTTCCATGACTGATAGGTTTTGGCTACAAATATTTCACTTTGCAGCTTACCAATAAAGGAATGTTGACATTAACAAAAGTGTCATTCTTATCATGGCAACCAGCACAGGATGTCTCTGGATCAAAAATATATGTTCTGTTTGGCATGAATGTCACAATGCTGTCATCATCTGTCCACTTAAGCACCTTGTTTGACCTTAATTCTCTGTAAAGAAGATGCAAATCATAACATTACCTGCAGATTGAAAAGCATGTATCTGAGTGTACCCTACCAGGTGGACACTTGAAAATGGAGTCTTGATTTTGGTCTTGTCATATTTACCATAAAATGGACCTACATTCAGAGGAATGCACCTCTTTGGGTAGTGCACACACAAGAGGCAGCAGAATGCTTTGAAATATGAGAGGGAATGCAAGGGGGGAGGGGAGAGGGGGGGCAGTGGGAATGGGTTGATGAAGCACTGAGCCTGTCACTTAGCTTTACTAAAATTTCCCAAAATGTCCTCTGAATAGTTTGTCAGCATATGCACATCTCTTTTACATTTTAATAGTTTTCAGTGTGTCCATAATCAACTTTTTATAGAGCAAGAAAGTCTCCCAACATATTGTTTAGCCAAGTGCAATCACAATGTTCAATCATTTGTTATGATAGAGAGTATTCAAAGAACTCAATCAAATTTCATCTTGTGTTTGCAATAATTTCTACATGGAAATGTGGGGAAGCTGTCCCCACCAAAACTTCCCTTTCCCTTCGATCTCTCTGCCTCTGTCCACCAAATTTAAGTTCATCTATGACCTAAACCTCTATTACCCTGGGGCATACCCAAGTTTTTTCAAAGGGGGGTCACACTGTGTCAAACAGAGGGTACTCACCAGTTGTTGCCACCTGAATATAGTTGGTTTTTTGCTTTTGGTCACAGGCACCCCAAGACCCCCAAGCTACTCCATTGATATCCTGCATCATGTGTGCAATACCAAAGGTTTTAAAAGCTGTATTGTTTGCTTTTTTGTTCAGAACAAAAAGCTTATTCATGCTTTTGTTCAACTTGACAACAATGCAGAAAGCTACTTGGTTATATAAAACCAACTAAACCGCTTAAATTGCCTATGACTATCTTTCAAACCCTCTAACATGAATAGGGAACATGTTTCTGTGATTAAACACTTTGGAGGATTTCAAATATGTTTAATAAAAAAAAATTCTAATAAAATGATAATAGTTATTAATAATAACATTCATCAATTATTATTTTTTCAATGACATTTTATGCATGGATTGTGGTACCTGTAGGAATATGGTCCAATCTGTTCCACATTGGGAGTTGCATTTCCATTCATTACCTCCTCAGGATTTGTCAGGTTAAACATATAGAACTTCTTATAGAAAGGGACACTTGAATTTTCCCACTCTTTATACACTGTGCTGCCAGGTTTCAATTGGACATCCTAAGAATGAGTGACTAGTAAGCTGTTAACACCCCCCTTTTTCATTTAGATAAAAATAAAATAAATACTTAGGAATTTAGCAATTCAGCTTCCACTTGGTAGCTATTCTTATTGACTTTTTCCAGGTCCAATTGGAATTTGGAGTGTTGGTTTTTTGAGAAGGGAGGAAAAGCAGAGGAGGGAAGGACCAGCACCAAAAACAAATTTAACCCACCTGTGAAGCCAGGACTGGGAAACAAACCCCGGCCACAGTGGTGGGAGGCAAGTGCCCTCATCACTGTACCATCCCTGCTCTCCAAAAGTATTTACACCAGTCTAATTTACAAAGCACTCTCTTGCTCTGCAAGCTGGCTGCAACTTAGACTTGTTGAGTGAAAAATATAAAGGAAAGAGAAAAAATAAATCTTGGTGGAGGGGTGGGGATTACATACCCCCTACCTCAGGGAAAATTCAAATTCTGGAGTTTCAGACTTTTTTTTTACTATCTCATAGAACCTAAGTGTCTTTCCTCCAGTCCTTCTCAATTTTGCCCAGGTACTGGTCCAGCTCTCCCCCACCATCAATTTTTTTTGTAACATGTTGACCTTTAATAGTGACTAGCATCTAATTTCTCCCCACAATATCACCACCAAATCACACATTAAGGTCATGAGAATGAAGGAAGTGATCACCACCCAAAGAAGCTCTTGATAACTAAGCAAATTCACCTTGTAAGCACCTTGGGAAATTTATAGAGAACTGTAAGGAGAATATTCATACTGAGGGTTTATAGTCCATTTTACAGTTGTGTACTTAGTTGCCAAGCCTTTGATTTGGAGTGAGGCTGAAGGTGACCTTGTTGTGATAGAGACCAATATCTAGTTAGCATGATAACAAAGTAATTTGCATTTGAAAAGCAGCAAGGTTGGTATCATAACAAGGTCAACCTTAGCCTCACTCCTGTTCAAAGGCTTGGCAACCAAGCATACAACTGTAAAATGGACTATTTGAGAACTGCTCTCTGAGTTTCAAAAATACTGCTAAGAGGTACTATGAAGCAGCATTTAGACCCGTAAAAAAGAAAAAAAACTGCGTAATATAGTCAAGAACTGGGCAAAAGAAAACTACATTTTCACTAAATTTTAAAGCTATTCGGAATACAATTTTAATAAAAATGGAACTGACCTCATTCACTTTATCCTTGATGAGCTTCGAGAACACATGGCTTGCCGTTAATATAGTGCCACTCACAAGGAGAATGAGCCCGAAAACCGTAAGAGATGTGATAAAAACTCGTCTACTGCAACAACCAAAGAATGCCATGACGTATAGAAACTTATGGTAGATCTCGTAATGGAGTAAAATTTGTCAAAGAGAAAACTTTGGCATACTCTCACAAGAGCAAGGTCAATATAGAATCGTCGGTAATGTTTAGTTCGTTTCATAGGGTTTGCAGGCAACTTCTCCCGTGACCTACCTGTGAGACAATCAGCTGTGAATGATCGCCACATGTTCCCAGGAGTAAGTTAAACTGGATTTCCCCTGATTTCAAAAATCAGCCGAGTTTGATTCGTCGCGCTAATAGCACGATTACATTCGATGTCTGGCGCGTGTAAGCGGTTTGAACGTCCAGGTCGAGAAGGCTTGGGACTTGATGGCCGCGCTCTTGGGACAGTCACGCGATCTCACCTGAGTGCCTCAGGATCGATCGACCGGATCGAGCAGTACCAAGTATGGCAGAGGGTGGCTATTGACATATATAGAGAAAGATATGTGAGGCGCTCCCTTGCTTCTTTATACAGAAACCGCGTGTGATCAGCAAAATATTATACAAAGAAATTTGTTTATCTGAATTATCCCCTCAAATTCTTTCAAGAACTCTTGTACCGAAAACGATTGAAGACTCGGAACAACCCACTTGCTAATAAATATTTTAGAGGAAGATATTTTTCGTCTTGTAGCGAGTGAGGGCTAAAGAAAAAAACTCTGAGTTCCTATGAGAAATCGAACCCTCGGATTCTGCGTTCCGATGCTCTACCACTGAGCCACAGAGATTCTGGTGAGAAAAAGCCCCAAAAAAGTCTATATATGACACGCGTACTGCATACTGCTAGGATCAGCAATGCCGATGGCGTCGTGTTCTGTAAATAGAATAAGCAAGATGGTATGTTTTTTAAGCTCGGTAAAGAAATAGACTCTGGTGAGCAAGGCCCATCACAAAGTTCATTTATGACACGCGTCCTGCATACTGCTGGGATCAGCAATACACGTGCATCGGAGCGCGGAATCCGAAGGTCTGAGGTTCGATTCCTCACGGGGACTCAGAATTTTTTCTTTGTCCCACGCTTGTGACAAAACGAAAAACATCTTTCTCTATTTCTTTATCGAGCCTAAAAATTACTATCTTTCTTGTTTTATTTACAATAAATATTTATTGCAAGCAAGACCTTGATTTATTTGAGCGAATATCGTGGATCTATTTTCATTTAAGCACCAGTACCTCTATAAACATTTGAGAAGTCCTTGCTAAGAATTTTGATGACCCCAATCAAATTTCTCGCACCTTATGGAAGAAATGGTGCTAGACTTAAGCTAGGGCAAAAGCGTTAACTTTTATTTTATAGAACTCAAACTAATCTGCTATTTTATCATTTCTCGTAGTCTTTAAATTACATAAACACAGGAGCTCGAAAACGTCCGACATGCACAGGTGTCAAATCTGACTCGCCGCGCGCAGACCGCTGTTTGCTCACGTCACGCACAACGACCTGGTATGGGAAAGAAGGCGTTGCGTGACAAGACAGCGGTAGCTTGCGACGATACCAAACTGTCACGGCAAGAAAAAAACCCATTTTCAGGATATTTTTCGATCCCACGACAGCATTTACAGTAACTCCCAGGTCCAAATCTTTCATTTCACACAAATCTATACAGTATTTAATCCAACAGGAATTGAACGTGAGTTCAATTTGAAAAACTATGGGCAACATCGATATAGCAGCACGAATTTTCTGTTGAAGAGCTTTATCTGAATACAGTTTAACATATCCGTCTAGGCCGAGTTGTTCAAAGTGGGATTGCCAGATAGACTGGGAGTTACCAGGGCAATAAAAACTCAGCCCTAAAATTGTTCAATTTAATTTAACTCATCCAGCATTTGATGCTTTACATATATAAAAATTAAATCCTAACATTTGCTTGGTTGAGACAATGAAGAGTGAATTTTCTTGATCAATCACAAAGCGAGGTGTACCGAGACCATAGCAGTACCTTATCACTTCCTCCACTGTTAGGGGCCTCTTTACACAAATTCGGGTTACTTGTTTAACTCGAGCTGAATCACCGAGAAGGAAAACCTTTAATGCAATGCCGGAAATGTTTGAAGGCGGTTTACATGCAAAAAAGCTAGATCAGACCCAACATGGAGGATTGAGCTGTGTCCTGTTCCTTCATGTTAACACTGGCGCATAAGTTAACTCGGTTGTATCTTTAACTTAACAAATTAGCATGCATATTTGTCTCGCTGTTAGTAATTCTACCCTTTCTATACTAATTTGAATATCATCGCTAATTGAATGTGCATAAAGTTCCATCATCACAAAATAAATTCAGTTTTTGCAAACAAACGAAGCTTTCAGCAACCTTTACAAAGCACGTATGTATTCCTGTAAGAAAAAGTCCTTTTTTTTCCGGCGTCCTCTAATCCGCGTATTAAACATTTCCCAGCATTTCTCCATTTCATTTTCTTGAAAAGTTGGTGCAAGATCTCTTCTAGGTGTACATCGCGCTACTGTAGGAGAGAAAACTAGAGTTGTCAAAAACTATAAATAAAATTTGTCATTTACCAGGCAACAGGTCCGTGAGGGAAAAATTGAACGATGCCCAAGGAGTCTGGAGTATAGCGTTAGTCTGAAGGCCGCTTTGCCGCGAAAGGCGTGGAAAATTTCCATCTCCGTGGACTGTACAGTAAAAATGTTGCATCTATTGCGAACGCGATTTGCTAATCAGACTCGAAGATTTAACATTTGATTCGCAGAAATGCTTCAGAAAAAATTAAGAAGTTGTCTTTCGGTGCACGCGTAAAAATCCATTAAACATCAGCGAAAAGTTACAAAAGAGATAACTGGCTATTTAGAGCCTACCAAACTAAAATTGAGCACGACTTACCCGTCAGTAACAAGAGGCTGTCTCTCATCGTCCTTAACATGACCATCGCCCTAGGATGAGGAAACAAAACAAAACATGTTTAACAACATAGCGTTTTGTAACTAGCTACAACTACGATAGAAAGTATTTTGAGCATTATGTTTTCGATCTTTAAATCAACCAGAGTAACAAAAGGCAAAACAAATCAAAGCAATAACAATTATCAAGTAGCTTTGCAAAGCGACGATTTCTTCCGCCGGAAATAATGTCTGGATAAATAAATCCGTGTACTAAGAAAGAATGTGCTTTACAGACATGAGCGAGGAACTAATAGACACACAATCGACCTTCTCCGCCACAGATCAGCGAATAACAAATATTGGAAAACAAATATCTTTACGAGTACGTCCTGGGTAACGAACCACTCAGGTTGATACCGGCATTGCGCATGCGCTTTGAAAAGGGCTCACTCCAGGAGCCTGTGGTAGTGGGAATTCAGCGGTTCTACGCATTTCAGGTACCAAATTTCACGTTGATGCATATACCATAGGGAACACATTCCTTTTTCATTAACATATGCATTTTTTACCAATATTTAAGAACCTTTAAATCTGATTTACCTCATTTACACGCAATTCTAGATCGTTTTTCTTCTTATTGGCCGTCAAGATCAGCAACAACAGGGCTACTAGAATGAACAGGGCTCCCAGCCCCATCAGAAAATATTGTATCACCTCTGTTATTGTGATTGGTAAATACACCTTGTGACGAAAATCGGCTGCTTTCCCGTCGGTAATTACAAAACTCTGAGGAGTTAAACTGCAAATTGTTAGACCTCCGCCTCTTTACATATTAAACAAATTACAGTAGCTAAAATTCTCAAATCGTTTTTTTTTTTTCAAAGTTTTTCTAAGCTTGAAATTCTTTAGAGACTCTCAAATGACTCCTAACGTAAGGATGCAAAGGAGAGGAGTAATTGAAGCTAAAATTGGCCTTACCTCACTAGCGTACATCACAGGAAGGAAAACTTTCGAAAATTTCCCATTAGTTGGACTGCAAAAAAAAAAAAAAGCATATCAGCATATCTTTAAGTGCCTTTTTAAATCATTGATTTTAAAAATGTTGACACAAGTTGGGAGAGTTTAGGTATGATTGACTGATGGCAACGTAAACCAAGTTTTCAAGAGGCGCCTAGGACTCTTCAGTTCGCATGGTATTCAGCAAAGCACAGTAAGTTTATATCCAAAATAAATTTATATCCACTTACGCGAACATTTTCACAGGCTCCACGGCAATGTTGATTTGAATCCTTTTAGCTGCCCTCATAACAATACCAGTAATCTGGAAAAAAAGTTTCAGTGACAGACAGAAGAATTAAGGATTGACCAACATGACTGAAAGTTAAAGAAAGATGTTTGTTCGTCCGGTCACTGCCATCAGGACAAAGAAAAAGAATCTGAGTCCCCATGAGGAGGTGAACCAGACACCTTTGTATTCCGCCTTCCGATTCTCTACTCCTGGGCGACGTGACATGCAACCATCATATTGTCACGATCAGCAATATGCTATGAAAGCTAGTCTGGGCTAAATCAAGAGTATGACTACAGACAGAATTGGACGACACGAAGTCCTGTTACCAATTAATCATAACCATTACAATTTCCTGAAAAAAAAAATGCATTTAGGACAAACATCTCCTGTAAGGACAATGTCTAAAGCAAAAAATTTGGAAACTTCCTAGTTTCTTTATACAGGGTAAGCGGTTGTTGTTATGGTTATTGTGATCAATTTGAGATTGGTGGATTTAGCTGAGTGGACTTAGTATGATTGGCTGCTTCAACTGTTCGATTATAGGTGTCCGATTACAGCCAACTGTCCAATTACACTGTCTGATTGCAAGTGCACAGAGTGATTAGTGAAATATAAAGCAGCTGATACACCAATCATATTTGAGGAAATTGTAATGGTTATGATTAAAACGTTTATCCCAAGAGCTTATGTATGCGAGACAGACGATAAACGACAGAGCCCCTTGAATTACATCTCTTGGTATTATCTAGACAAAGCCTATCGTTTAACCCTTTAACTCCCACAAGTGATTAACATGTAACTTCTCCCAATAATATTCTCTCCACATCCAACAAACAGGTCATAAGAAAACTCAAACTTATCAGTTCGAAACTCTCGATACTGATTTTACAAAGAAATGTTCGGCAGATAGAGGGGAGAATCAACAATCAGATCTTGGCAGCTAAATGGTAAACTACCAAGATCTGATCGTTTATTCTTCCCTCTCGTTGCTAAACATTTCCTTTGACCCTTTTCACCCTAACATCAGTTTGCATATTCTCTATACTGTTCTCTGTACTTTTCCTATGGTATTTACAAGGAAAATTGAGCTTCTTGGGTGTGTGATCATTTCCTTTATTCTCATAACCCTGACGTTTGATTCGGTAGTAATTCTGTAAGGAGAAATTGCAAGTCACTCAAGGTGCAAGTTACTCACAACTTGAGTGCAAGTGCACTCACTCACTCAAGATGCAAGTCACTCCTAAGGGTTAAAATTAGTTCCCAGAATTTGGTGTTAGCTGATGATAGCAACTTTTATCTGATAAGTTTGAGTATCCTCGTTACCTGTTTGTGTGGGATACTATATGGATTATAGGGAGAAGACACAAGGTTATCAGTAGTGAAAGTTTAAGAATTAACAGGCTAGTTCGTTATCATGAGCTACCAGCATGCAATGCAGCATGAAAATGTTGTGGATTAGGAAGGTTTTCTGTTTTGTGGAAACAAATCTTTACGCTTCAAGGTGGCTGAAATTCCTTCTGGGAACTAACACGTAAGATTTTCTGTACAAGAGGCAGAACATAAATAAGGGAAAATTTGCCGACTTCTACAGTTATACACAGGGAAGCAACAAGGAAGATGTTTTCTACGAAGAGATACGTGGACTGAGTTGAGTAAGGAAATGAAGAATACAAACTGACACTGAATTTAAATGCAGGTGTTTACGCTTGACATTTTTGCAGCGTCCTATTTTGCGAAATTTCTTTTATCTGTGAAAACTTACTCTTACGAGAAATAGAGCAGTTTCAATTGAGGTTCGGGAGTAACCATACTTGCTTTGGTTTTCCTTCGCACTGTGATTGGTCCAGAAAACTCACGCCACCTCCTCAACCAATCAGATGCAAAACTTAAACTAATCGCGATTTTGTCGCCCGCGTTTTCCCGCGTTTCGAGCGATTTGGCTCCTTTTAATTGAAGTTCTCATTGGCTAATGATAATGTCCACCTTCTCTCCGGTTGGCTGTTGTCATTACTTCTGTTTTCGAAACTCAGCTGAAACTGCTCTGTCAGTAAAATGCAAAAAATTTGAAACCACGTATGTTTCTTTGCTACACAGTTAATTAACTTGTTGTACTACTCTACTGACCGGTTCGATATCAACGTAAGTTTCGTGTTTGCTCTTCTCTGGGTTAAGCCCATGAACCGCTTCTAACAAGGACTTGTCACTTTGGTAGAAATGAGGTGGCGATAACACTACAGGTGGATCTGGAGAAACAAAAGCGTTAAAAAAATTATCACTAAATGACAGTAAAGATAAACAGGCTTGTACTTAAACCAACTCCCTCTCACAAGACGATAGAGGCCATGAAAAGCGTAGCTAAGCTAGTGCAGGTACTACCACTGGCCGAATGATATAAATGGCTGAGAAATTACTGACGCTTGTTTCCCTGAAACGAGGACAATTTCTTGTCCCGATTGGTCGATGCACTTTGTAATCTCTTCTTTAAAGTTTTTACCAGAGCAAGTTACAAGTTGTGCGATGATGAATCGTAACAACAGCAGTTCAAAAGAATAATTTTGACTTTTCACAACATTTCTCCCTAAAAGTCTCAACTTCGTGCGCTAGACCCAGTTTCCTTGGCTTATGCTCGAACATACAAACGTGGGCCATATATTCGCCAAAACTTGAGCCAATCAAAGAGCACGAGCCGCGCGAGTAATTTAACCTTTACACTTTAACATCAGTATACATTTTCTCCCTACTATTCTCTCTACATTTCCTAAGGTGCTGACAAGGAAAATTTGTTTAACAATCAGGATTTTCTTCATTTCCTTAATTCTCATGACTTAAATGGTTGATTCAAGGGTGATATTGTAAGGAGAAATTAGATTCTAGTCACTGCTAGTGGGTGAAAGGGTTGACGTGTATTTAATCAACTCTGCTTTAATTTGTTACTGTCAACAAAAAATATTACTGATAAGCAAAGAGGAAGAGTATTGATAAGCGAATCTTAGGGCTGTAAACTTTCTTTTGACTTACTCAATGGCTGACAGCGGCTGATGTTCAGCAAGCCAGTGGGTAAACAGCCAGAGGGCATGCAGAATCCCTTATTGGGCTTGTAAGTATCACCATTCAAGTAAAGTTTTTCTGGTGCTGTGAAGCGGTACAGCTTAATGTCCTTTACAGTCTGATCGGATTCATAGACAAAAAATAAAGATCTGTGGAAAAAGGAAATCAAAACTTCACATAGACGAAAATATATTTTGCTCTGGCGAGCGACTTTTGATATTTTTTTCCCTTAAACCACAGTCTAGATGCATAAAACAATTTTTAATTGAGCTTCCAGAGTAAGCCATGATTGCTTGGATATTTCTCAACTTTGCCACCTGATTGATCCAGTTAAAACTAGCGCCATCCTACCAACCAATCAGATTCAAAATTAGAACCAATCGCAGCCAATAAGCAGTTTGTTTATTTTTACTTTGCGTTTTATTGGCTCCTTGTTAGAGTAGACTGTTCTAGGGGTTCAGTTAGTAAAGCGGAGCGAAATAGTGCACGGCGCGATAGTATTGGTGGAGTGAAAAAGCCGCGGAGGTTTGGGACGGGAAAAATTTCATCACATAACCCGACCCAGACCCCCTTTTTTTCTTCACTCCCCTGCTACTATCGCGCTTCATTTCACTAACTGAACATCTGCAACATGCTAAGGCTAGAGCTTCAATATTTGCGTCAAGTCTTGGCGCTGGATGCTTCTTAGACTGAACGGCCGTTACCTATCCCTGGTCCTGAGCGACAGTTCATATCACTGCTCATCACGACCACATGCCATTTCATCGCACACAACCCTCCCCTCCTCTCCTCTTTCCTTCCGTAACATCAGTGATATGTTGTACCATTTCATCGCACACAACCCCCCCATCCCCTGCCCTTTCCTTCCGTTACATCAGTGATATGTTGCATTTTCAGTGCTACAGGAATTAGAGTAACAAGTCCTAAGGGGTCAAGAACACTTCACCTGCAAACTTCTGGAGAAAAGGCATATAATGTCGCTTGTTTATCAACACCTGGCGAAAATTGAGTACCATCTGCAAGACAAAATAGGAAGATTCAGTCCACTTTGTTAAAGCAAAAAAGACGTTAACAAAGAAAGACAAAAAAAGAAAAAGTTTTGAGGACAAAAGTTGCAAAATTTCCTACAATTTTGCTGGTAACATGTACTTAAACAGGCCTTGAAATCTGATAAGTTGTTTTGTTTTTAGCGGTACTTTCTCATTAGCTGAGAAAAAGATGCAATTTGTTGCAAAAAAATCAAGTGATCCGTGGATTAATCACATTGCTTAGAGCCAATCAGATTACAACGATCACCAGTGATTTCAAAATGGATGTAATAAAACAATTTAATTAACACAACCAACTAGTCTAGCCAGTTTAACCAATTAATCAGTTACTTGATACAGTTGGCCAGGGGAGCCTTAAAAACCTGAGAAATGTCAATGTACCTGTTCCATTAATCATATTTGCATACTTGTCACTCCACCATGATAAATGGCTGCAAATGTAAACAAAATTTGATCTTTTAGTTTAAAAGCACCAAATCATGAATATTAGACAACTATACAAGAATTCTTCACCCTTTCACTCCCAAGATCTCCCTAGTTAATCTCCTTACTGTCTGCCATACAATTCTTATGGTGTTAGTGAGGAGAATTTGCTATTGGATAAACCAATAATTCCCTAATTGATAGTTTTCTTTATTCTAATCACTTGTCTGCTTCATGTTGTATTGCTATTGTAAGGAGAATTTCTGTCTTGGTCACTCATGGGAATTAAGGGCTCAATAGACTTAATTTGGGAGGCTTTGATTTCTTCTTAAAGCACACTTACAGCACATTAACTAATAATAATTGTTTAATAACAACTATTCCCTGCACTCTGAGAAGAGCCAAGACAAATGACATTCATTTGATGAGTTACATTAAGCTGTTCTAGCTACTTTTACAACTTCAAAAATGCTATTTGAAAAATTTTTTAAAGAGTTTTTATGTCAGTCAAATTCAAAATGCTTTGGGAGTGGGATTGTGTCATAGTGAAACACTGAAATGCTTGACAAGTTTTTAAAAAAAATTTTTTTAAGAAAGGCATCTTTCTGCTTGATATCTTTGTGTTTCTAAAAAATAAAAGATTCACAGTGCAAGAAAAAGAAACTTGATGTTCCAACTAACTTTGAGAGTATAACTAAAAAAAAATGATGCAAAAGTTCTAGACTAAAAAAAAAATTTGCAAACAAATTGTTGACAACAAATAAGATTAATAGAACTGAAAAAATTTAATTTAAACTCACTGAGATTATCACTCTACCAATAAGAAAATAGTCATGGAAAAATAAACAGTCTCTATGGAAACAGTCTCTATGGAAACAGTCTCTCTAAGCATCTGAGGATGTATGAAAGGAGGCTACAGGCCCTACTCCACAAAACGTAAGCAACGAAAGTGGCATAGTATCATTGTTTGACATGCACATAACCTTCACACTTACGATTCTCCTCTCCACATAGTAAATTGTTCAAGCTTGTTGATGTCAGTTTGTCCACTGTTCACAGCACTTATTCCATAATATGTGTTGTTATACTGAAAATATATTTAGTTCATTAAAATTAGCTAGCTCCAGGGCAAAAAAATTTATTCCATTCCCACCTCCTTTCAGTTATTCAATACTGAGTAGTATATGTACTTGTTTAAACAGCTTCATAATGCACTTAAGGGTATCGTCTTCTTAATGGTCCATGTGCTTTAAATTATATATTTTCTTTCTATGAATGATGCAGCAGGTTTTACAAAGTTGTCATATTTCCGCAAAAGAAATTAGCCCAGCTGAATATACTCCACTTATACAAAAGTGAGTTGCTTTTTGCAACTTCTAATGGGTTTGCACAGATAATATTATTATCTCTGTCTTTCTGGTGTGTGTCAAATGACACAGAGGGAAGCCATTTGCATTGTGCCAATTGCACCAGTTCTATACCACTTTCCAGGGCCTTAAACCTTGATATGGTCTTTTTCTGGCAGCCCTTCAAAAGTAATAATAACAAAGGTGAATAATATTTCTGATCACTTACCTGTAACTGGACAAAGTCTGTTAATCCATCCTGCCCTGGGCAAGTGATATTTTTATCTATGATGGGTATATGAATTCCTTGGGTGGCCTTTACTAAGAACTCCAAGAATGGATCCTTATATCCCCACAGGATATCATACACAGTCTTCCTTTGAAACAACTTGACTTTGTATAATTCAGCTTCAATTAGCATTCCAAGGAAACAGAATTCATGCTTCTTGTCATAGTTGTTGTTTCTTACCCACAAAGCCAGAGTCTGTTGCACAAGAAAAAAAGTAAAAGTTAGCCAGAGCAGACTCAAAATGTAAACAATTCAGTCATCAACTCTTTAACTCCCACGAGTGACTGAGGCAGAATTCCTCTTTACATTATTAATACCATGTCATGCAGACTAGTGATAAGAATGAAGAAAAATATGAATTAGGGGATTATTAGTTGATCCAATACCAAATTCTCCAAACTAACATTATGAAATTTGTATGACAGGCTGTAAGGAGAATTATTAAATGAGATCCTAGGAGTGAAAGGTTTAACATTTCCCCTTGTGTAATTTCAAAAGTTCTGGTTTAGAAAAAATAAAATAAGTGACTGATTCACAACTTAAAATAAATTAAAAGGATTGTATTAAAATTGTAAACAAACTTGCTTGAGGTTATATCCGTTACATTCTAAGGCAGCTGGTCTACACTTTATAATTGTTATGGTTTATTTATGATGGCATTAAAAGGACCATTTAATATGTCTGAAAAGAAGCTTTAATCTTCACTTACTGTGGGGGAAAGTCAAAAATAGACTTTCTTCAGTAAAGCATTGTCTTTTAGTGACTTTTTGAGGTTATCTACACTACATTATTGCACAAAGTAGCCCTTGAATAGTTATTACTAAATAATCCAGTGTAGAGTAAAATTTTCACAGGCTGAAAAATTAAAAGCTCTGCTTACCATAAGTGGAATATTCACACTCATAAATGTATCATTCCTGTCATCACAGCCTTCACAAGATGTCTCCGGATCAAAAACATAAGTTCTGTTTGGCATAAAAGTTACAATGCTCCTGTCACTTGTCCAGTTCAGCACCTCATTTGATCTAAGTTCTCTGCAAAACAAATTTATGCATTTTTAAAATATCTAATTATTCAAAACCACTCATTTCATACAGTAAAATGTCACTTCATTATGTAATTCTCCAAAATATTTAATCCCTTAAATTTGACTCATTGCAATGAGCAAATTTCTTTCCTGAAGTGGATGGAAGGTAATTAGAGTGTATATTCCTTATCATTCTAAAGGCATGTCTTGCTGTAAAAGGTGAGGTTTTCAACACATTTGTGGGCACCAGCATGTGAAAAGCAGGTTACTTTGTTCTACTTATACTAGGAGCACTTTTTGATAAAGTATAATACAATCAATGCCAAAATAATCAATAGACGAAATCATAAAGTAGGTTGATGTAAAATAAGGAACAAAAGTGAACTAAAAGTACAAGTATATGAAGAGAGGCACAAGAAAACAGGGTTAAGAAGTTATAATTACTTTTAGTTTTCAAACAGATTGCTCTATAAGATAAGGAAAGTTCCCTTTACCAATTGTACAGTTTTCTTTTCAAGGACATATCTGTGTACAAGGGTTTTTGGTAGGTTTTAAAGTAGATGGCAAAAACTGCAAAGTAGGCAGATAATGGGAGGTCTGATCTCTACTCTATGTTGTTAATTTAAGAGAAAAATAGGTGGCAAGTTTGCTTCAGATAAATTGCAAAATTACATCAGTAGCTTGCTTTATTGAAACCCCTGTTATACTGTTACATTGTGAGCATACCTGTAAGAATATGGGCCTTTCTGCTCTACAGCAGGAACTGCTTTTCCTGTCATTACTTCCTCATGGTTTTTCAAGTCAAATACGTAATACTTCATGTACACAGGAAGTGAAGTTTTAACCCACTCTTCATACACTAAGCCACCAGGTTTTAGTTCAACACTCTGAAATAAGAGTTGATCCACAATCTATATTATTGTACAGTAGTCCAATGGGCATGGATTGGATGCACAGTTTGTTACAACCTGCCTTAAGGGTGCACTCATATCTACAGCATATCATCAAAAAATTATGTCACTCATCTAGAAAGTGCATTCCATGATTGAAAGCAATTGAAGAGCAGGAGAATAAATAAATTAAAAATGTAGTACTAACAGGTGTTTCAATAAGTTGAAAGAATATTATGCTTGCATGTCAGGTGATCCTGATCTTTATTTTTATAGTTTAGGTCTGTCACAAATGTTCTCCCAAGGAATCTTAATAGGACAAGACGTCCTAAATGAAAGACCTTCCTTTCTATATGAAATAAGTAAAAATAACATTTAGGTCACTAGGAACGTTATAGGAGGCCTATAATTGTGGCACAATTTCACATTGGAAATATTAAGTTTGGTAACACCAGTTAAAATGTCGTGCCATGAGACAAGTACATAATATACCAAGCAGTACTTGCATAGAGAAACTTTGATGTACAAAGAAATTACCTGTACTAATGTTATATTTACGATGAAATAACAGCTACGAGTATTAACATGAAACCACTTGATGATAGAGCAAATCGGTCGAAGTCAAAGTGCGAAGTTCGGTTTTGTGCAACATGTAAAGCATATGACTAAAACGACAAATCTACGGCAAAATTTTATTCTTAGGATTAAACCAATCCAAGATCTCACCGAAACAGGGCAGAGGAGGTACATGTGCGACTTCGTTTCAAAAAAAAATTTCGTGGGCACTTGCGCAATTTTCCTTTCTCAGCTTTTGTTGGGCATTAAAGGCAACGAGTGAAAAGAAGGACAATGACTTTTCTTCGAACAAAGTGTCTATGAATTTAAGTCCTACTAAGACGCATATGAAAGGCTTTTCAAGACCAAACTTTCCACACCTTAAAGCGTTGTCTATGCAAAAAAGTTAAAGGAAGCTTGAGCTTACCTGATCCACTTTGTTCTTGATTATGTTCGAGAACACTCCACCGACATCTAAAACTAAGCCAGCCACAAGGAGAAAGACTCCTGTTATAGCAAAGCTTATGATCAAAACTCTTCGGCTACAACAGCCACAGCAACGACGTCTTGACTCCATGAGGACAGGAATTAAATCTATCCTCCAACAGCTATAGAGGAACTGCGTAGTTGAAAATGTTGCAACGTGATCCAAGACTTTGACCTTTTATGGCTAGTTTAGTGGAAATCTAATGCTTCTCGGAAGTATAAACTGGGAATTTGACTCCACAAGAAATTCAATGAAGAATTTATTTGCCGAAGTACGTCATGCATAATTCCCCATACATGACGTACCTACCAATACCTGGCGACTGTACCGCTGATAAGGAGCCAAAGTAACCCTGGGCTCGAGGTTTCAATTGGGTATTACGGTTGAGTAGTCAGCGGTCTCGTATAAGTACTCCTGCCAATCATGCCGCTGTGACCCTGGGCTCGAGGTTGATGAAGACTTCGAAGAGTGGTGGAAATCATTTTCTTATCATTGGGATATCTCTAGTAACTGGTATTGTTCTTCTTGTAAATGGCTGGATCCTTAATGCTGGAAGTGTGTTTGAAAACCGAGCGTTTTCGAACTTTATCAAGAAACAAATGAATCAGGTAAAGCTCCGTCCTTCAGTAGGAGCTCATTGAGGATGCGGAAAATTTGGTTGTGTCCTCGTGTACAGGTACACAAAGAAACGAAACATTAACGAATGCGTCACAACTCCATGTATGGATATGAAAACAATAGGAATTCCCCCGTGTACCGGTACACCAGGACAGCCCCGAAAATTTGGTCTTGTACAGTGTTTGGGGCCGTAAACTGCAACTCGGTCGGCTTGACAACGATTATTTTTTCGGCTGCCATCTCATTTGCAATAGTATTCTAAGATTGGACGTTCAATTTTGATTTACGCCAATTCGTATCCTAACCTCCTTCTCAAAGATGACAGGCCCAGAAATCCGTTCCTCGATTGCCTTTCACAAAAGACCTTTCAAGATTCAATTTTGTAATTGGCACTTTAAAAAGTGTTTGAAAGCTCTTGGGTACTTTTCATAACATCCGTGAAGAAAAAATATTAAACCTTTATTGCAAAAACTTTAGGTTTGCATAAGAGTAATGTAGCCAGGTCAAATTCCAGATCCTAAGGCAGTGTGCAAATGCTAAAATCCCTATCTGAGGGGGAGTCCTCTCAGTCAATTCCTGTGGATAGCCCACACCCCCCTCCCCCCCATCCTGAGACAAACCATTGTTAGGTGCTATAGGAGTACTCAAGCAAAGTTGAGTGATTTAATCAGTCTTTGATTGTTCCATCAACATTTCAATATATGTACTAGGAAGGTAAACCAATAGAAAGGTGGTCTGTTGCTTTTGTTAATCCTTCAACTCCCAAGATCTCAATACTAATTCTCCTTACTGTCTGCTATACAATTCTTGTGATGTTAGTTTGGAGAATTTGGTAGTGGATCAACTTATAATCCCCTGATTGATATTTTTCTTTACTCTTATCACTTGTCTGATTAATATTGTACTGATATTGTAAGGAGAAATTCTGTCTTGGTCACTCATGGGAGTTAAAGGGTTAAGAAGCCATTGGTTTATGGATGTTATTAAAAATTTAAATCTTTGACCTAAGAAAGTGTGCATGGTGTCTTAGCTAATAAATAGTGCAATTTAAGTCATTCAGTGAGGAAGTGTACATATTAAGTTTTATTAACCTTTCTGGTAAGCTGTTAAAATATGATTTCTCAATTTAACTGTTGCATTTCAACAAGGAAATGGCCGCGGATAAACTTGGATTTTTATTTGCACGAAAGGAAACCATGACTGAAATAACAAAAATGGTCAAGAAGTTCCCACCATTGCTTGAGAGGACCTTTATCAGCTGTGAGAATGAAGGAAAAGTCAAAAGTGGGGAAACTTCTGAATTCCGTGTGCTTCAGTGGAATGTCCTTGCTGATGGTAAGCAGATATTTTTACTAACCCTCATCTTTATGGTCATATAGGCCCTGCTATGCGCTTGTCTCATGAAAGACTGCAAGGTTTACATTTCCAAATTTGCAGGTAGCACTCAGTTTGCAAAGGGAAAGAAACTCCAGAAAAATTAAAACTTGAAAAATCTGAATGAAAAACTCTGCAAGTGTCTCATTATCTTCTTACTTTCTTGACTTTCCCAAATTAATATGATCCATTGACAAATTATCCACAATTTCAAGATCCCCTCTGTACCACTCAACAGGAAAGAAGATATGAAGATATCAGGTTTCTTTCCTCACATATTGATGTTCGGGGGATTCAGTAGAAATTGGCAAAACTAGCTATGGTTAGTAATTTCACTTCTGCCAGCAAAATGAAATACCAGTAGATTGCGAAGACTTGATTATATTTAGGATGGAAAGTAAGATATTGATCATGTATTGAATAAACCCCTTTACTCCCATGAGTGACCAAGATAGACTTTCTCCTTACAAAATCAATAAAATACCAAGCAGACAAGTAATGAGAGTAAAGAAAAATATCAATTAGTGGATTACATTAATTGATCAAGTACTAAATTCTCAAAACTTACTCATAGGAATTGTATAGCAGAAAGTAGGGGGAATTACTTATTAGAACTTGGGAGTGAAAAGGTTAATGAATCTATCACAAGCATCTAATGTCTTGATTCCTGTTAGCATTGAGCACTTCAAGTCCAACTGATAACTTTATCAAGAGTCCACCTGAAGCTCTTCTGTGGTCAAAACGAAAGCTCCGATTACTTCAAGGGATATTGATGTATGATCCAGATATCATAGCTCTAGAGGAAGTTGACCATTTTGAAGATTTTTTCTTGCCCTCACTTCAAAAACTTGGATATGAGGGACTGTTTGTGGCTAAAAGAGAGTCTCCATGCCTCAAGTTTGCAAATAACTCAGGACCTGATGGCTGTGCTTTGTTTTATGATCGAGACAGATTCTCTCTTCAGAAGCACAGAGATATCTCACTAAAGGATTCTAGTGGAGAAATCACTAATCAAGTTGCTTTGATGGTGAACTTATTTGATAAAATCCAAGGCAAAACTCTTTGTGCTGCTGTCACTCATTTGAAAGCCAAAGAGGGTCATGAAGATTTGCGGCTGAGCCAAGGAAAAAGTCTTTTGCAGTCAATTTCTGAATGCATTGGTGATGATAAGGCTGTGATAGTACTTGGAGATTTTAATGCAGAGCCATCAGAGCCAGTCTGTAAACTGATGGAGGATAATCAATACTTGAGAATGAAAAATGCATACATTACTGCAACAGGCAAGAACCCAGAGTTCACAACCTGGAAGATTCGCCCAGGAAAAGAAGTGAAACATTCTATTGACTATGTATGGTATTCTGAGAACCTTAATGTTACAGGGTGCCTAGAAATTCCAGAAAGTGATGGTGTTCCTGAGGAACGCTGCCCTAGTTTACAGTATCCATCTGATCATTTTTCTTTGGTGTTTGATTTCTGCTGGGGATGAAATCTCCCATAATTTCCAATTACATAATATTTTAAATTTTGTCATTGTTTGATTTATGGAGACATTGTTAGCATGATGTTGGCATTGACACGGTGGTGAGAGCAGTCACCTCCCATCACTGTGGCCCAGGTTTGATTCCAGGACCTGGTGTCCAATGTGGGTTGAGTTGGTGTTTGGTTCTTGTCCTCACTCCAAGGGTTTTTTCTCTGGGTCGTCTGCTTTCCCTTCCTCTGCAAAAACCAACATTCCAAATTTCAGTATTCCAGCTGGAATGAGTGGACTGGAAGAGCCACCTTGTGGAATGTCCACTCATCTATATAATTATTATATTAATAATAATAATAATAATTATTAATATTATTCCATTCTTGGGTAAGGAACTCACTTAAACAAACACCTTTGCACAGATTGAATCAGTTTCATCCCTAGTAGGATGGAGAAAGTTGCCAAAGAAATATCATTACACAACAGACATTCAGTGAAACTAATGTTCAAGACAACAATGAAGGTTGAACTATTTTAGCTGCATTATCTAAGTTTTTTATCTCGGATTCTGATGACAGATATAAGACATAAGAAACTCAGAATTATGAAGCTGGTTTGAGAAGAATTTAAACCACAAGGAAGAATTTACTATTTTCATTTTGCCTCATATTTAGATATACCCCCAAGAAACATTACAAACATATGATTTTAAAGGAGAATAAAGAGAACCAAGTGTAACTTAATTTCTCTAGAGAGCTATGAGCCTTTTGTTTTAGGTTTAATTATCACATCTTCCAGACAAAGAGGGTGTTATACATACCCCAATATCATAATCCTATAGCTACACCTCTCTGAGTCAAAATGATTGTACAGTGAAAAAATAAAAGAACAAATTAGGACCAGTGAAATCAAGGTGTGTGTATTTCTACTCCAGGTTTCTATTTAACTGAAATGCTAACAAAATAGTGGGAAGGAATACTTTGCATATATATGATAGAAAGTACAAATTCATTTTTTTGAGGACTTGAATTTGTGTTGTTGCTAGATTTTGAAAGCTTGTAATAGCTGTGCAATACAATAATAATTATTGGATTTATTGATAGAAGTGACAGGAGAAAGTTACTGATCGTTTTTACTCATTCGATATTTGATAATGAAAGCAAAAGACGAGATGAGGATAATGGTTACTTTCAAGATACCCTTTTGTCAACAGTTTTTCATCACGTGAAGGAGCTATACGAAGAATTTTGGCATTCCTTCATGCATGTGTGATATTTCAATAACAACCATCTTTGGTATTATTGTCCAACAGTTCTTAATGATACACTTCATGTTTAGAAGCAGAGCTAGGCATTTTTTCATGCACGAACAGAGATCACGAACAGCTTCGAATATCAAGGTACAGGCCACACCTACCACCTCTCCCCCTGCTGAAAAGCACGCCCGTCCACAATGCACCAGCAACTGCATCCTTTGCGCCATTCCTTGCGGCACAATTTAATTTGAGATTAAATAAATTGCGGTCTGTAGCATAATTTGATCATTTGTGGACAAAAGAACTCCAATTTGTACTTATATTGTACTATTCTAATGAATAAAACATTGAAGAAAATGGATTTTAACTGAATGCGCATTTACGGGGTTCATTTCTACAATTGAATTTCGTCCGCAGGTTAACTCATTTTGTAAAGAAGGTTGCAGGCTCTATCTGAACTTTCCTCCCTCTTCTCTTGCCGAGTTATTGGAATTTTTTAGCGTCCCACAGTCTCCTGCTTGAGATTTATTGCGGGACGGGATCGATGCCGAGCGGGAGGATTGGAAACTAGCCGGACAGTTGTGTGCGCTTTCAAGACGTCCTCGACGGCAAAAACTTAAGTATGAAAACACATTGTTATTTGCGCCCCATGAATAAAGTTCATTATAGTTATTATTTTTACTACGATTATGATTACTATAATTGTAATTGTAATTATTATTATTATTAGTTTCTAACTTAATGAATTTTTTATTACTGGTTTGTAGAATTTTAGAAATGAAAATTTTTATTAGTAGTTATTGATAAGACGGCTTTTTATCGTACATATTTAATTTTCAAGACTTACCTATTAAAATTATTCATGAATAATTATTGTTATTATAATTTTATCATACATATTATTATTATTATTATTATTATTATTATTATTATTATTATTATTATTACTATCATCATCATTAGGTATGACCACGCAACAATCTCCATCCATCGAAAAATCAGGGAAGCCTCGGGGGAATTAAGAACGCTCGCTATTTGCCAGATGATACCTGTCAGGAGCCCACTGCTCCTGTGCCTGTACAATTTAAACTACGGTCCCCCAACATCATTATCTAATCAGATGTTTGTTCAAATTGCTTCATTTTGAGACGTACAGAAGATATTTGAACGTCTAGAGAAGTAATATAAACTCGGATTGTCTTGGATCCTCAAGATACGAAATAAAAACTTTGTCGACCTTTGAACTCTCACGAATTTACTTGGGGTCAGCGTTGCGAAGCCTCAGCATTACCATGGAAATGCTTCACGTTGTTGAATGGCAAGCGGAGTACTTTAATGGTCCTTTCAGTGATATCATCAATGATTATGATAATTGACATCAATTAACCAAAACGTTTCCACCTGCCTTTTACTGGTCTTTAATGGGTAGAATCTATTTATTCGTATACACCCTCGACAAGAAATCTTCACAGCAATATGCAAAAATCAATATTGCAAGCGAAGCCAGAAAGTCTTCGGCATAGCGCGTACGCAAACATGCTAAATAGGATTTGATGTATAACTCGCCAAAGTTGTTGTAAAAGCAGTTTCCTGGTTAAATCTTCGGAATTTTCTCTGTGCGAAAGTAAAAATCCTCGGGCTAATCGAGCTATGGTTTCGATAGTCACCTAGACATGGAGAAAATTTGGTCGCACGTATTTTTTTCCTTCTTTCAAATGGAATTGACAACAATATATCTTGATCGCAACTCTGTTCGTCTTTTCTACTGGTAAATTAAATGACGCATTGACTTTATGTCGTATTTTAAACAAGTTAGCAACAAAGTTACGACTGAGTTCAATTTTTATCACACAACTCGACGGTTGGAAGTTAGCCGGTACAGTAAGTTATTGTCAAGGCGATCTGTGACTCTGTTTTTAATTTCTCATTTCACAATTTACAAATACTTGTCGAATATACATCAACATATATCATGGATCCAACTGAAGAAGTCATTCTCCGTGCTTAATCGTGGTTCTTTACGTGTGGTTTGAAAATGGCTTTTCCATTGACACATCTAGAAGTTCAAATTCTAATTAAGGTTTTTTTAAATTCAATTTCGATGCATGTTAAAGTGGGTTACAGGAGAAAAACTATTTCCAGTTTTGAATTTACCAGTCGCAAAATATGACAAGTTACATCTTAAGGCGTTTGCGTGTTTTGTGTTAAAAAGCGGCAAAATAGACGTTAAGAATATTCCGAGCGTAAACTTTGCTAAATCGATCACGAACCAAAACAATACTACTCTTTGTAACATTTGGACAAAATCTTCATGCCTATTGTGAATCTGTTTACTTTCCCCGTTTGACTTCGCTCGCCTTTGAGAAAAAGGTAAACGTAGATGTCTAATTTACGCAACGTGACTGGGATTTTGCTTGATCGAACTAAATGTTCCCGTTTTAAATAATTCGCTTTATTCTATTATGAATTAAACTCAAGAAAACTCTCAACCTGAAAGAAATAACTGATGATCTCAACCGAAATACAAATGAAGAAATTTTTTTCTCAAACAAATACCAAGAAAAAAAATTCAATTTCTCTTTCTAGTAAGGTATTCTTAGTGCATTCCGGTATTATAACACTTGAAAATTGCGGCAATACAAAATGAACAAGAAACAACAGGTAACCCATTCTTCTTTTTGCACGTAAGGGCGAAGACACCTCTCATAGGCGCGGTGCAACCTCTTCAACGAACCTCTGAACAAAAAAAAATAACGCCTTTATCACTTTTCATAAAAATAGAAAGTATGACTTCTACTTCGGTAAACATTCGGGATATATTGTCTGTATGAAATATCCTGGTTTAAAAAAAAAAATTACAGATTATTCTTTACTTCAGTATCATTCGATGGTTTAAAACTCCGATCACTGGAAGGTATCGTTTGATGATCGACCGGGATCGTGAAAAGTACAAATACTAGCAATGAATAATTACAGTCTGAAGAACACATAATCGTTGAAGTGGTTCCATTTTGTCTCTTCGCTTTCAGGATCATAACCAGCTCCGCCGGCCGAACTTGTGATAAGCTTGAACCCTCTATCGTGCAGTTGATCGAAAGCTTTTTCCAGATAGTTGTGCTTTAGGTAGAAGCGGTTGGTATAACGTGCCTCGTCTCGATCAGGGTCTCGCGTTTCGTTCAGCGATTCGCCAAATACCTCCCGTGCTAAGGCAACATTACCACAAACCAGGATACGCTGGAGCTTTCGAAATTTAACATCAGCTAGACCGTCTCGTCCAAAGGCGTATGTCCCGCGTACACCAATAGATAGAAAACCAGATGGTCGAATATTCTTACTATCACTGCCCGTTTTCTCTCGCTGCAAAGCCTTTATTATGCCCTTCAGTCGAAAATATTCCGCTTCCGCGAGCAGGCGGTCCCTCTCGTTAAAGTTTTCTGGTAAGGCAAGCTTGGAGTTGCGGAGATAATCCAGAATGTAGCGAAAAAGCATTCCGTCGCGGTCGATGAAGAACCGACCGCGTGAATCTCGAGGGATTTTATGCTTACCGCTAAACATTGCGCTTAACAGCGAGTCAGGATCTTTCAACAGCGTCGGAAGAGACGTTGTATAAAGCTGACCACCTACATTGAGTTCAACTACAGCTGGTAAATTCTGATCCGTTGGTGATTCCTTGGGCGATTGCATTTTTTTTTTCTTTCAAGGCAAGAGAAGAAGCAAATGATAATGAAAATTCGTTCACTGGTAAAATACCACTCTTAGCGAAAAGTAAATAATGGCTGGTTGCATTACGCACGCGCAATCCCTCCTTCCGATGTTGTGGCGTTATTCTCTCAGTTAAGCAGCTGCCTCTGATTTGAAAAATGAAAAGATTCACATCCAAACCTACCCCACTCTTTCTTTTTCTACTCTCTGTAATTTACTTCCAACATTTTCGCTTTTGACTCATTTCAAGGCGCAGTTTAGACGAGCCGTCATTTGACCCGAGAGAAAAAAATAATACGAAAAATTCCTCGCAAAATATCAAATTTATTAACAATAATGCTACTGCTGAATATATATTTTTTTGAAAATTAATGGAATATTTTGGCGAAATTCGAAAGCCTTTCATTGTTACTGAAACGAGAGTACATTTTTAATCAGCTGAAAGGAAAAATAGACTTCTGCATTTGGTGATCTATTTGTTTAGTATACTTGATTGCAATAAAAGTGAATTTGCATTTTTAAAACAAAAATTCAGGAGATTTGGGTTTCATTTATGTAAAGCGCTATCAGGTTTTCGTCGCCGCCTTTAGTCTGCTAACAACGAATTGAAAACAGACAAAATTTAGGCGTTACTCCTCTGACGTCGACTTAAATCGCTAAATACCATTTTGGGTTGAGAAAAACAAAAATAATTGTCATATTTTTATCCACCATAAGCTGCCTAAAGAGTAGAATTTAAAGAAAGCCGAATACGCATAAATTACTTTTGACTTTCAACGGGTAGGCTGAAGTCACGTGGCGTTTGCAACGACTAAGAATCGACAGTTTGATGATCGTCAAATTGCAGCTGTAATGTAAAAGATTTTTAGCTTTTTCCCTAAAATATCGGTAATTTTTTACTTGAAGTAATCAACAGTTAGCTAATTTATCATTCAAGATGTGAACAGATCTCTGTGTACAATGGCCCGTCAAAATTAACTGAAGACAGGAGGAATCGAATGTCTTACGTCTTATAAGCGGCTCTTTAAACGCCCACGCTTGGCGAAAACAGTCACTTGAAACGCTTGTTGGAGAAGCAGAATATTTTTTGCAAAACAAAAAAAAAAGAAGAATCCATTAGTTCATATTTCAAGTTCTCTTTTACGTATTATTATTTTTATTTGGAATTTTTTATTTCTTTCATTTTCCGTTTGCGTGCAACTAAATACGGTACACTACCTATTAAATATATAACCATTGTGTTGCTGAACGAAACGGAAAAGCGCTTTTAGGAATAACAAATATCCATCTATATTTCTCGTTCTAAAAAATGTTTCAAAAAATCATGATAATATAAAGACGAAAAATCTATCTAGAGCTAGACTAATCCAAATCAAATTTGAACGCATCGTTTCCTAATAGTATCATTTTTTTATTTTACTTATTTTAAACAGGGACAACCTAAACATTTGATGAAACTCGTCTAAAAGATGAAGGATTTTTGGTGTAATTTCTGAAACAAATAGTACCATTTTCAGACACATTTCGACATCTATTCGCATGTATATGTTTTAAGATATTTTCGTAAAATTATATTTGAAAAAAAAAGGCAATGTCAATGGCCGGAGGGGATTCTTTAAAAATTTTAAACAGGTTAATTTGCATTGCCGCTATCTACTAAAAAATACATTAACAGCACTTTTAAAATATGCTGATATGACCATCAAGTACGCAGAAAACTGTGTATTGGTCACACGAGCCAGTGATATCAATGCTAACCAATAGTTCTCATAAACATAATTGCCGTATTTTGACTTAATTCAGAACTTGCGAACTCGTAAAATTTAGATAAAGATGTCATAACTTTTCGGCCAAAAAAAAAATAATAATGCTTTCTATATTTGCCCTTATCAATACAGATAGCGGATAGCCATTTGGTCTCGCTTATTTCACCAATAATTTTGAGTTAAGCGCACAAATGTATTTTGCATCTTCTTGACCCCATTGCAGTCATCCAGTGATTATTGCCACAACATTCGCTAAGGAAAACAACAACAAAAGCAACACTTCATTCTCTATTTCGTGTAGGGTTGAACAAGTTAAATTATCGCTCGAAAAGTGCTTGTTAAACGGGAGAAAGAGGATTTATACACAATGCTTTTTAGAACCAATTAATTAGCCTCAAGGAATGTGCATGTCAATGTGAGGACAAAAGAGAAAAAGGTTTCAGTCAGTCTATAGCATTTCAAACACTTAACTGAACTGTCGGTTGACAAGCATGATTTTCTTGATTTTATTTTTCTTACAACCTGCTTCAAACCTCTGCCAGTTGACAATTGCGAATTCAGAATTAGTTTTATGTCTCTTGCTCTTCATTTGGTTTGCCGAAACTTCCGCAACTTATGTCTAAAACCACAATTAGGTTTTGGTGTTTCCTATCACATTAATTCAAACTTTATCGGCTTTTACATGCGCATGCATCATTTTCTTTCGCGGAGTAATTCCCTCCGTGATATATTATTTTTCTAAACTTGACCAGCGCACTCTCACCTAACTCCACAAACTCTTTATTTGATCACTATACTGACACTAACAACATTCTTTAACACGTTGCCCGGCCAGCGTCACGCGCTTGCGTAAAAGACTGAAAACGGTTTCGTGTCTCCAGCTAATGTATAACAGGATACTTAAGTGTTATCAACTGAGTTGATATTGTGTTGTTCAACTGAGTTGTTAACGTAAATTGGCTACCGTAAAGAGTTTCAAAGCTGACGTTCGAGGGTTAGCCGTTCGATAGAGCGATTGATCTACTTTAGCGTCTAATACAGCTAATGATAGCTGATGTAGCCATGTAGCTAATAATCTAGCTAAGGTAGATTGCTACATAAGTTAAACAATACACATCATGACCATTGCAATTTCTTTGAATGTGATTGGTGGATGAATTGCTTCATTTTTCGCTAATTATGCTGTAGAGTTAGGAGCAGACAGTGTAATCGGATCTTTGGTCTTGATAGGAAAGTAACGATCGCAGTGCGTATACGCAAATGAATCCAATAATCAGATGGATTATAGTAACCATAGCAACATCTTACTATCCAAAAATCTTAAGGATTGTTAGGGTGGAGTATCTAAATTTTGGAATAACAAGCCCTACTTTTTGAAATAGTGATGGTTAAAGTGAATTGAAGCGTAACAGGAATCGGTGTCTTCCGATTCCGGTCAGTAATCGTACTCGTGATTAATAAATCGTGCTTTTTCATGGCGATCGTCCAATTCTGTTAGTCACTAGTATGATTACAGACCGAATTGGACTCCACTCGATCTTACTACCCTAGCAGAAAAGTGATGGCAACATGTTGGTATTAAATGATGATGTATGATGTCAGTATGACTGTTAAAGTGTTACGCCTTTGTATTTTGACACTAAGCATTATACACGCGCGCTATTTTGCCTCCACTACTCAATCAGGCACGCTAAGTGTTGATAGCTGGGTGCGTTGGCCAGCCAAGCCATCGTACCGTTTATTTAGCACCAACATGCTTACAAGAGTTTATTATTAGTGCGATTTAAGGCAACTAAATGCACCAAAGCCGGAAACGATGACCCTTAGAAACCAACAGATGGGAAAAAAGGGGAACGTGTACCCCAAAACAAGGCAGTGGTGCCACCCTCGTGTATCCTCTGATCTTTTGATCCTATGAATAACATGATGTACACAGGTAGATAACATTTACTTGAGGAGATATGCGAGTACAATTCTAATTAAAACCTGATTTGAACATGATAATATTTCAGGAAAAAAAACTAAATTACGAAATAAATTTCAACGAAAACGAAACCTTACAACTTAAGGTTACTTCTCACCTTCGCAGGAAGAAAATTCGTACGCGCGCTAATTTTACTAAAATCCCAGCAAACTTTGCGTCAGAAGAAAGCTTAATAACTGCAGTTTACGATAAATGTGTCAGGAGCCGGTAGGGCGCGAAATGACCGAGGGTTCTTCTATTGAATTTATCGGGTATGGATATCGCAGCACGAGCAAAATGGCTATTCACAAGGCATCAATCAACAGAAGTATGGCAAGCTTTTTCGATATGCTGATTGGTTGTCTAGATATTGGCATCTAAGTTGGAGCAGCTAAAAATGTGCGAGGCGTTTTGCGTAAATGGACGCCACGGGACAAATATTTCAAATATCAACATTTCCGACATACTTTCGTTTGTCATTATTCCTGGAATGTTTTGGCGATATTTGACGAAAATCGGTCAAATCTAAATACCCTATAAATTCGCTTGAAGCGGATGTCTTCGTCCTAAAATGAAATGCGAGATTTTAGCTCATAAAGGTTCGCATTCTTGACAGAATGGTACTCTTTCTCTCATCTTTGAGCCTGTTTTTGTTGTTGTTGTTGTTTATTTATTTTTTACCGGGCTTTCGTCCGGTTTTGATTTTTTCATCAGCAAAGAATTTTCCATAAGTAAAGAACTTACACATGTGAATCTTGTAAAGTGTGCGATGCAAACAAAATATGCAAATAAATTGAAAAACGAGCCCCCAGATGAGCGATTGCCGCGAAAATTTCCCCAAGGGACTCGCTAGGTACGAGATTATGACACCTTCCTGATTTTACTGACTTTTACTTCAAATACGTTTTTCTAAATGACTCGGGTGCTGTCAAAGGTTTTAGAATTTTTTTACTGGGAACGTTAGGTTAAACGTTTGAATTCAGTTTAGTAAAATAAAAGGAAAAACGATTCTTTCGGCCTCTGAGGATAAGATTAAAATTGACAAGGCAAAGGCTGACAGTGGAATGCCTCTCCCTACTAACGACCTCAAATTACAAACTGCGACCCCATAACTCGATGTACACCTCGCACCCGCCTCCAGTCCTCTGATACGTGCTGGCAAAATATTAATTAATGCTGATTGCGATTATCACAAATTACATGTTATGGAACTGGATAAATTATGTCAAGGAAAGAGTAAAAGATTACCGTTATATATCTGAATGCGTTTGATCGATGGATATTAAAATTCTATTTTTTTACTAGTATCGAATCTTGGATCCTGTATTTGTTCCTTGAGATGAAGGTGGTCCGATGAAAGACTGTTATTGGTAGTAGAGACTGAAGTTTCGACAACTTTTCGTCAGAATTGATGGTCTCGATCAATTAGCCGCAATCATACCCGCGAACAACAAATCAGGCTCCCGCTTCTTTGTCTTCCAAATTTGTCGATCACTTGTAATGAATTGAAGGGGGTAGGTTTCTAAAGAAACTGTGGTGCTGCGTCGGTGGGAGAGTATAGCAGGGTAATTCGGTATTGCCAACTGAGTTAATAACGTAAATTGGCCACCGTAAAGAGTTTCTAAAGCTGACGTTCGAGCGTGAGCCCTTCGTCAGAACAAATCATCACGATTTATGGCTGAAAAAACGGGTTCTCGACGTCCCACTCTAAATAAACTGTTGTCGACAAATTCAGAATTACTCTCCCGCCTTTTGTTCTTTGCTTTATTGTGAAAAAATGTCTCACCTCCTCCTTTCATCAAAAATGTCACACGTTTTCTCGTGTAGATGCATTCAAATTAATACCTTGTTCGCGTTCGCTCTGAGGTCTTCCATATTTTCTCTTAAAATTTTCCCTTGAAGCTATTCCTAAACTGACACTCAAAAAAGTTGACTGATTATGCTCCTAGTATAGCTATCTTTATGTGCACGTCTTAATTTCAAATATTTATGTCTTGCTCTTGTTTACGTGTTTAGAACAGTGTAAGCTTGGTTAAAAAGCTTCCGTGTCTCTCGTGGCCCGATTGGTTCAGGTGTGTTCAGCTTTTAAGGGGTAGCAAAAGGAGGGGGGTTGGGGAATGATCTAGTTTCGCCCACAAAATTTTGGAAAAAACATGCGTCACGTGTACTCTGAACAGTTTTTCACACATCGCGAATTTCAAAGGGAAAACTTCAAATCTCACTATAACTTGTCTTTCTGTATGCGTCACGCGTAAACACCTCCAGCCTCTTATACGTATTCTGTCAACCATTACTTCGAAGAAATTTGAGTTTTTTTTGCTTCTGACTCACGCGCAATAAAGAAGCTTGTCAGAGGTGAACAGTAGGTTATCGACCCCACCACAGACGTGCTCTTTGAAAAGGATTCCTAAAAATAGTAGAGACAGCAGCACTTAGAAAAAAACTGATAAGTTTATGTTATCGAAAACATTTCTTTGTCATTCCGAATTGAGAATAAGCTGAAGTTGCTGTTGTTTGCTGTTTTATTGTTAGAAAAAGTCTCGCCTCCATAATCAAACTAAAATATCACACCTAGTCTCGTGTGGATGCTTCTGATTCAATCTTTTGTTCGCATGTTTAATTAATGGGCGTGTTTCTGCATATTCGTATTAAGTGTCACTAGTATATAAGGACTCCCCAAAAAACCTTTCCAGGATCTGAACTTGCAACAAGTGTAGGTTGAGAAACGTTTAATCATGAATCTCTTTCTTGTGTCATTGGTGGTTCTGTTAGTGTTGGATTTTTCCCTGCAAGAAGAGAGCAAAACTACAAAGTAAGTCTTTATTTAAATTTCATTTTCAAACAGAGTGAGCAGCCATACGCTCTGACGAAGAGTTTACGCTGAAAACGCGTGAAAAGTTAACAACTTATGCTCTACCCCATTCACACTAACCGAAAAAAGGTTTCATAACTGTTTTGGCAAACACAGTTTGAAATTGTACCCTTGATAGAGGCTACTTACAACGCAGTTTATCTACTTCCAATTTAGCACGAAGAAAACAAAAATTAGAGGCTACTTAGATATGTTTTGCTGGTGTTATTTTCGTTGCAATTTTTGTCCGTGAATTTATAACAGTGATGCTTAACTAGGCAAAACGTAGTTCGCAAGTTAGAAATGATCAGAATCGAAAGAAACGAAGAAATAGAAATGGAAAACAAAGTTTTTACTGTAAAGAGTCTTAACAGTTTATCTACAAATAACAAAATTAAAGATCAAGTTCTTCAACCGCAGAGCATAGAGTTCAAGATATGCTATCTTCTATGTAACGAAAGAACCATGCCATCTAACTAGATATTTGTTTCGTTTCAGGTCTGACAGTATCAGGGAAAGCAGTTTTCTTCGACAGAGGGTATGTGGATGATAAAATGATTACGATAATTGTAATAGTGTTAAGGCTGTAAAGTTAATTTCACTATCGGAATGAGTTCAATACACTTGCGTTTTGTGCCTATTTTTTTTTTTGCTGGTATGTGATGAGTATCAATGGTTGCGATTTTTTTACGTGCGTATCAGGGTGGATGCATTTTTCACGTGAATTTTTAAAAGGTAACGACATGATTCCTTGCGAAATTTGGGGTACATCAGCTCTTGTAAATTTTTTAATGATTACCAAAAGCCACTCACCTTACGGGCTCAAGCAATATTTTCGTCCTTGGATAATTTACTTTATAGACAAATTAATATACAATATACGTATAAATTGTTATGATGACTTACAGTACGTGGATTTTCTACCTGTTCGTGGCTTTTGTGAAGCCAGGCAGTAAAACAACGCATAATGCACTTATTTTCGCAATCATTTATTTTTCAGAGTTACAATTTGCTATGGAGTATTGTCAAGGAGGGAGGTTATCGTGGACTGACAGAGTGCCAAAAGTTATTTCAGAACGAGATTTGGAACTGCTCATTGCACGACAAGAATGTATTTCAGAAGTTACCCATCTTTTTTAAAAGAACTTTGCCCCACGGTAAGTTGAGTTTGAACTTTGTTTACACTGTAAGCAATGCCCATGCAGTACTTACGTATTTAATAGCCTGTGATTAAGTCTGACCTGGTCCGCGCCATTTTTGCTAAGAAACGCCTCGAATTTTCACCCGAGTTCTTGTAGGAGCTTTTTAAAGATCCTGTGAGCAAAATCTAGTAGAGCAAATTCAAAATGTCTTTTTTAATGCTCTGTAATGAATAATTTAGAATTCGGAATTCCTTACCCAGTAAAAATAGGCATTTTCAACTTTTTTCTTGAAATTAGAGACGTTGTAACACGTCATGAAACACGCCGTCTATGTGAATCACACACACACATATAGATATATATATATCAAAGCTGTCTATTTATAGAATATTTTGTGTTTCATGACCGTGCTCTGTGGACGCTCTTCCTTACCCACTTCTCTTTTTCATTGCAGCAACTCGAGAAACAGCTTTCCTTCACGCCATCAGTGCAGCTGCTATTACTCACGAACTCACTGTTCAGTGCAGACAGAACAGAATACCCGGATGCAGGTGCGGAAAAACAAGAAAACAACCAAAAGGAAAGAGCGACTGGCAGTGGGGAGGATGCAGTGATGACATCAAGTTCGGAGAGAAGGAGACGAAACGGTTTATTGACAGACTAGAGAAAGGAAACGACGCTCGTACAGCGTTCAACCTGCACAATAATCAAGTAGGAAGAAAGGTAGGCTATTTATTCATTTTTTTTCTGTTTCTTTATCTGTAAAAAATGTTAACTCAAATCTTGTTATCATCACTGTGCTATGATTGTGGGCAATGCCTCTTTTTTTTCAAAAATTGAAGGAAAAGCAAATTTATTCGGAATGTTTATTGTCATGAATGCAACCGAGAATTGATGTTCTTTTTTTCATTCATCCAATTTAGGTGGTCCGCTCAAAGATGAGAAAAGAGTGTAGATGCCATGGCGTTACCGGAAGCTGTACCGTGAAAACCTGCTGGAAAGAACTGGCCCTTTTTAACGTGATTGGACAGGAGCTAAAAAGAAAATACCGTTCAGCCATTCGGGTGTCATTCATTAATAGCAAACTTCACAGACGAGACAACAACCGTGACAGACTGGTGACCAGGAAACAGAAGAAATTGGTTTATCTTAACTCGTCCCCAGACTTCTGCGTGCGTAATTCGACCGCGGGCTTACCTGGATTGCGAGGAAGGACATGCGTAAGTGACCTTGATTCCGAAGAAAAGTGCAGATCGCTATGTAATTCTTGTAATCTGCCACATCGGACAGCAGAACGTCACAGGCAGGTCAAATGTAGATGTAAGTTCGTGTGGTGCTGTACTGTTAAATGCGAATTATGTACCGAAAAGTATTCCCTCACAACTTGTGGATGAAAAAGGATTGACAACGTGCTCGTTTTGAAATCTACATATAGCTCTGCGTGTACATGGTTTTCTTTGTTACTGTTTGTGTTATTGCACACAGGCAAAATATCAAGCCGTTAATTTACAATAGTGATGTGTGAATTGTATAGTAATCGATCGATCGCGGAGTATTGTTAATTGGCCCGTGAAAATAAGTTTTCTGTAGCAATAAATATGTTGTAGATTTACTCGAGATTTCTGATTGTTTTAGGCGAATACTGGGAGGGAAATTTAAATTTTAAATCTACAACAGAAGGACAGAAGCCTTGTTGAGATTAATATATTATTCAATCCTCAACTGAGTCGGAGTGAAGAACAAACGTACGGCCACCAATCTCGATGACTTTCAAAGTCTTCGCGACAAAAAAAGGAGCCATTTTGAATTCCCCTTTTAATCATTTCACACCTAGATATCTCGGTTCGTTTGATATGATTATTTCTCGAATCCCGCTCCTAAAAATCGCAGATTCCCGAGTCCCGCTTATTATAACCATCCCGCATCCCGCTCCCCTCTTATTGTAAATTCCCGGATCCCGGCCTTTAAATTAGCCATATCCCGGATCCCGAAAAGACCAATTATGGACCCTCATACAAATGTGGTGAGGATTACCAAAGAAAACCCTGCAAGTGTTAGCGCACAGCTGCTAAGAGAATTTCTCAGTTCAGCGTAGCGTTCAGTGGTAACGAGTCTCCGTGGCGCAATCGGTTAGCGCGTTCGGCTGTTAACCGAAAGGTTGGTGGTTCAAGCCCACCCGGGGACGAATTTTTGTCAGGCCTCAATGGTGAAAGCCTATTAGATCCTGTAAAGAGCACTTGACAAAGGTCATTATCATTTTTGTAGTCGACTCTGAATCCTTTTAATCCTTTTGCCTGCCTCTCCCCCTTTTTTCTTGGTCATCTAAAATTCGTAAGAGCACCTTTATTTCTATGAACACGTGCACTTGACAAGTATTTTGTTTCACAGATAGATGTGTGAACTCGATTTTATCGCTAGGACTCGATAGGGTATGGATGTCTGAGCAATACGAATAACCATCGAAAAATCGAGAAGTAATTCATTTGAACTTATTTCACATAAGGCTGGTTTTCATTCGCGACAAAGTCAGAGTTGGATAAGGCGATATGATTCAAAGAAAATCAAACTTATGGAATCAGAAGAAATGTGGTCCCCTACGATCCAGTGAAAACTGGATTGTCGGATTGAAAGCAATCGGATGGCCTGAGTACTCGCATTGTGATTGGTTTATTTTTTCACTTCTGCCTGCGACTCGACAATTCAGTTTTCACTGGATCATTAGCTTTGGAGTCATGAGGGGAATCGGAAGTAAATGAACAGTTCCGACTTTTCTGACACCGATTCCAGTCAGCTTATGATACCGTTTACGACTGCGATTTTCACTTTGTCGATGGCGCTCTTTCGACTGAGACTATGAGTAAGACTGTGGTGTAAGCCTCCTTGAACTTGATAGACTGAGACTATGAGTAAGACTGTGGTGTAAGCCTCCTTGAACTTGATAGACTGAGACTATGAGTAAGACTGTGGTGTAAGCCTCCTTGAACTTGATAGACTGAGACTATGAGTAAGACTGTGGTGTAAGCCTCCTTGAACTTGATAGACTGAAACTATGAGTAAGACTGTGGTGTAAGCCTCCCTGAACTTGATAGTGACTTAATTCGGAAAATCAGAACAACTCAAAACCTCACGACAGAACTTGACACTGTTTTAGACCAAAGGCCGTTAAAGATCATGATCCAAATAAAATATCTATCTCGAAAAAAAAAACTACTAATTGCCACCCTTTGTCTTTGTGATCCGTGTCAAAGTGGAAGATTTCAAGCAAATTCGATCGCAACAGCAAAACTAAACTGAATAACGCCAATTTGAGTCTGACGCCAGGCAAGAGAAAATTAGGTGCGCATAAAGTTGTGGCGCATTTTATACATGTTACCGACACAAAAGCATTTCCATACTAGATCTGATCATTTTTTATTTTATTACAATGTATGTAACCTTTAAATAAAAAAATAAAAAAAATTCTAGATTTCTAATCAGGATGCACATTGTTGTATTTTTCTTGAAAATTTTCATGAACAGGCCCGAAGTGTCGTTTTATTTTAAAATGAAATAAAATCGTGAAACCAAAGAGTGATACAACTATATACACAAACAAACGAAACGCTATGGATTCAGAAAGAGATCGAAATAAAAGTGCTTCTCTGGGTTTCTGTTTAGTAAGTCTACAAATTGATTTCGTGCACATGAGCGTTTTTGCTTCAGAACTGAAGAAGACCGACCTTCGCTTACGCAGTTGCATGATTTGGAGGTTAAAATCTACCAATGAAAGTTATTAATTCAACCCCTATTTTAAACGGTGAAATATTGTTATGCTCCTCTAAATAAAAATTGATAATATCCGTATTGTCGGTGCCTTTTGTGATTGACAATTTCATTGAAATTAAAATAGCTATTTTCTATCGATCTTGAAATATTTTCCTATTTTTATTTTTATTTTTAACTTTTTACACTTGTCGTCTAGTAATTCATCTAAATCGAATGGGTCGAACCGCCAGCGAGGAAAATCAGGGTTCTTTGAAGTATTTATATCATATAGATGGATGAATTCTTCACCGTTTAGAAGGTTTTCTTCAAAACTGAAAAGAAGATGGTCTCTCACGTTCTGCAAGTTCGGTATATTTGATTGAGCTTTCGATAGCTTTGGTGGCAGTTTTCTGGGGAAAACATTTTTATAATTTCCCACCAAATGAGGCCTTCACAATGCGCGCGACCCTGCTTGCTTAAGCATTGTGAATGGCGTTCATTGTTGACCACTACGACGAGATCGTGGATTGCCACAGAGGAATATCATGGCGATCCTACGGGCAATTCTGGTGGTGATCCCGGTGGGGGGTCTAAGGGCCATATCTAAGGACCATTCTTGGGGCGATCCAAAGGGCGCTCCTGAGAGCGATCCTGACGGCGATCCTGAGGACGATCCTAAGTGCGATCCTGAGGGCAATCCTGAGGACGATCCTGAGAGCAATCTTGAGGGAGATCGAGAGAGCAATCTTACGGGTTCGCTTTTTCTATTTTCATTCTTTAGCTCTTTTCTACCTAGAAACTTGTCGTAGTCGACATCAAGCAACGCTAATAATCCACGACGGTTTTCTAAAGTTTGCGATAGCCCTTTTATGGTGCGAGAGACTTCGAACACAATTTCTCTAGAACCGCTTTTCATCAATGCTGCTACTTTCTCAGCCGATGAGTCATCCGGTGTAGCTCTAACTTGTTGTTCGACGTGTCGCTTCAATGCCAACCAATGGCGAATAATGGAGAAAACAGACTTATCTGTTGCTGATTCACCAGGTGATTGAGCGGCCTTCTTTAGTAACTGAAATGTTGTGTAAACTGCTTTTTCGACTTCTTTTGATGTCATTGTACCACGAATAACCTGCTGCACTAGGCGATGTACTCTCATGCATCCAACAGACTTCCTCTGGAAAAGTGAAAACTTGGTCAAAACTTCTACTATATGGTTATTCGTGAGGGGGAGTTCTATTTTGTTTTCAGATACAACGTCAGAGGAAAGAATCACTGCATTGATGAGTCCTTCATAGATTTCATCGGGATCAAGGAAAGCAGCTGCATGTACGAACCTGGTTGCAATTTCTCCATATCTTGAGTTCTTTACGTACTCAAAGTTCAATAACCATGTAGTGTGGACTGAAAGACGATTCAAGGAGTCGTACTCCCTCGAGGGATTTGCCCGATGCTCGCTTAGCAGCTTGAACCTTTCGAACTTGTATTGTTTCAAATATTCATTTACAGTGCAGCCAAGAGATTTGATATGTGCACCAGCCTGCTCCAAGGCAAGGGGAAGACAACCAAGCTCAACAACCAGCTCATTTAGCGCATCCTCCTGGACTGCAGCATTTTCACCGCTGAAATGACTCAAAAGAAACTCTTTTGCTTCCTCGATAGAGAAAGAGGTGATTTCTACAAAACAATTTGGCTCAACATCCACACACCGACAGATCTCTTTTCTTTCACGCCTTGTTGATACCAACATGTGACCGTTTGACTCCCTTTTCCATATTCCTCTCAAAACTTTACGCATTTTTTCAGAAAGTATTGGCTGGTCGACGTTGTCAAGAACCATCAGCCAAAGCTTTTCCTGCTTAGATATAAGCGTTAGAATTCGTGCCAGTGTAAGATCTGATGATTTTTCCATCAGTCCTAAACGTAACGCTAAGTCATTCACACAGCTTTCAAACTTCTCTTCATCTTCCATGGAGAACCAAAATACGCCTCCCTCGTAATGTGGTTTATGCTCCCAAGCGAATTGAGCTGCTAAGGTCGTTTTTCCACATCCGCCAAGACCACAAATGGCTGCCATTCTAAATTTATGGTCGCTGTTTTCTGAGAGGAGGCACCTTTCAAGCGATTCTAACTCTTTTTGTCTTCCTGTAAACCTCTTGTTTCGATCTGGCGCATCAAATACTATAGATTTATCTTTTGCTGCGGAGACACTGACATCACTTAACATTTTATCCGGGTCTTGTCTTGTTGTTTGTTCTTCATGCTTGCTTTTGCTCAATTCATGTAATATTGCCTGAACTTTTTCAAATCCAGACTCAAACATTTCATGTATTTGATTTATATGTTCGTGCATAACACTAAGAAATGTGTCATTAAGTGGCTTACCAACGCAAAATTCTAACCCTAGGAAAAATTAGGACAAACAAACAATTAGAAAACCGGTAATAGAGCATTAATTTTCAATGTGAGCTAAAGTCCAACGTCACTCACCATTAAAGGATACCAGTAAAATGGAAAATTGAATAATCCTCTGAAAAGAGGGTTGATCCAAATTGCGACACTAATACGCGGATTGTAAGAATCGAGTAGTTTAGCCCGACAGCTCTGACTTGACGTGGACCGACTCATCTTATGAATTCACCGTGCTGGAAAGCAGAAGTTGACCACAGGCAGGCAACCATATGGGATGTAAAGTCACGTAACATTCTTGACCTCTAACGTTTGCTGTAACTTACAACGAACAAATTTCCTTCACCGGCGACAAAATAACAACGCGACCCTCCTCCCGCCAGCGTGTAAATTTTCTCTCAGTAGTTTGGTTTCGGACCGCCTTTTCAACAACACACGTGTGCACCGGCGGGAAAGGGAGTCCGGTCGTACTTTTGTCGCTAGTGGTGGAAATGTGAGCATGATTGATTGATTACTTAATTTCGATATCTTCTTTCCACACCTTGTATCGATAGCAAAACTGTTAACGAAGTAGAACAATAGAGTAGGCTTTTGGGTTGTTTAGAGAAGTGTAAATGTAATGATTTGTGGCATATATATTGGACACCAGTCGACCTTAAACATGCTTGAAAAATAGGTGGGGAGCGATAATTGAAAGTGAAAGAGGTTTGTTGTGGTTCTTGGGGATGGAAGCTAGGAAGCTACACGGCTCGATGATTTGAGAAGTGTCGGTTAAAAGGGGGGGAGGAGGTGGTGAGAATTATCCTTCCTATAAAAATTACCAGATCCCTCGTAGGAAAGTAAACAGGAAACTGAGAGTAAACACAGGAAACTGAAAGTAAATGATCAAACGCTGCAAATTGTAAGCTTTGTGAGGAATTATCCTCGATTACTTGAATGAAAGTGAGATCGGATGTTGCCAATTAGAGCGAAAGTTAGAGATAAACAATATTTTCACGTCACGCGGGCTCAAACCCATACGGTTGCCTGCCTTTGTTTTGCCAGACTAGCAGTTGGAGGAGACGAGCAGAAAGCGGGCGCGTGTGCCCACTGTTTCGAATTAAAGAATAATTGATCTTCACTGGACGATGCTAAGCGCTATAGAAGCGATTAGAATCAACGGAAATCAGCAGTTTGAGCTCCAAAGAGCTTGGGAACTAGCATGTACAAAGATCAAGCTGTCAAAGGTGTGACATCTTAGCTCAAGTCTATGCTTTCTTTGTAAAGTAATACAAACAAAGAGAAAAAGGGAAGTCTCGTTTAGTTTCATTGTTCTGTGTTTCACATTAAATAGTCATACTTGATTCATACTTGGTTCACACTAAATGAAGATTTGTCGATTTTTTTCGAATTTATGTCTTCAATTTGATTCATGAATGTCTACGTTGAGATTGCAATCCGTATCTCTTCAACAGCCAGCATATTCTATCGGCCTGAAGATACAATTTTGGTTGAGACCTCCTCGGCTAGAGGGGAAGACAAAACAATATTTCTTCAAACATGTGTAATGACATCTTACCATGCTTTCTCCACATCTGCAGCTCAGAGAGGAGCTCTGTTTTTTCTGCTGGGGCAAATCTCAGGTCTTCAACCAAGGTCTCCATTCGATCAAAACATATATTGTATTTCACTTCCGTCCATGACGCAGAGTCGTAATGGGCCCACTTATTTCGTACTTCAGATCTCACAAGTTCAGCTGACAGCGCTGCAGCGCTGAATGGTGGAGCAGAGCAAAGAACAGCCAGAGCCGCCGAGGCATCAAAAGAGATATCAAATGCATTGAAATGTGCCATGAAAGGTTTCATGAACAACTTAGCCAATGACACTTCATCCTTTACACAATAGTCAAAGCAATGGGTGTCTCGACCCAAGGCGGCGTTATTATTGATACTTTCGTAGTTCAGCTTCAGAGTGGTTGGTGGAATAGTCTTCAGGTGAGTCGGATAGGTTTGCTTGTCTAATCCATAATTTGCCAACAGATTTTGGTAAAATGGTTTCATTTTCTGTTCAATCTTTTTTCTGACATACGGCAAAAGTACACTGTGAAGAACAGTGCCAACCACCAACCACCGTCGATGTTCTGTGTCTGTCCCGGGCGACGAAGCCATGCTTTGTTTCTTGCCTTCTCAGTCACAACTACCTGACCTGTTTACCTGACACCTAGAGGGAAGGTAGGTTTAATTGACGTAAAGATAAAAACAATGGTAGCTCATAACAGAAGCATATTTGGTCTCGATAATTTTGTTTGAATTGTTCTTCTTGAAAGTGTCTTCCCCTTGCAGAAGTTGGTTTGTTGGTTTTTATGTTTTTAAAACCAAGATTGTCTGTGTTATATGAGATTTTTAATAGTTTATAACTAGCCTTATGGCTACACTCGTTAAATTTAAAACTCTCTCTTTCGTCGTCTTTACTATTCTTTCCACACTTAAATAATCAAACACATCCATACTTCAAAACTCTCAGATGTTTTTAAATCCACAATTATAGAATTTTCACCATCACACTTTTCACTTTTCTTCCATATTTCCAAACTTCTACATTACTTCACACTAAAGCTTCTTCCTTTCTAATTCATGTCCTGTTTTGGCTTCGATTGATTTATTTCAAGTTATTATCTCGTCAGCACTTTCATACATCCAAAGTATATTGATAACTTTTTAACTTTTCTACCACCATTCTAATTTAGACCTTAAATCTTTTTTTATTTCATCATTTAAAAATTTTAAAACGTCAAGATCGCACTCGCACTTAGACGTGTCTCAACTCCCTCAACTCTGTTTACCCCTTCATACTTCTCCACGTCACATTTCCACAACTCTCCTCAAGTTCCTAAGTTCCATAATTGCACGCGTCCACTCCACTAAAATTTTAAGGTACAATTTTGGCCCTACTTTTTTTTTCATTGCATTCTGATGAGCTGTTACGAGAAATGAAGCGTAAATTTTAAAAGCCTCTCAAAACAGTCTTTCAAGAATGGTTTTATCGATTCAAATGGTTCGATTTTGTTCAGCACAGGCTTAAATAACCTTTGTTCGCTGGGTGGAACTTCAAATACAATTTTCACGCCGTGAAACTCTACTAAGAACTCACGAGAACTCTGAACGGTTAAGTGAGAATGAAATAGTCTTAGCTTGAGGTACGTACGCACATCACGAGAACTTGATCAAGATGTGAACTAGTTAATTATTACAAACTGAAATATGCATTCAAAAAGCTGATTGAAACCCACCTCAAAGAATGGAGCTTACCCGTGCAGAATTCCTGTTTCGTTTATCAGCACTGTTTCAATGCGGCAAAACTATCAACTACACTGGATGACTTGACAGGTCGATAAACGACGTGGTTACAGGCTTATTATTCCTGATAAATTCGATTAATGCTTTGTTGTGTAAACGGCAAATCGAAGATCACCTTAGGCGTGAGAAATTACTCGCACAAGTCGAAAGCGGAAAATGTAAAACCGACGAATAAATGCGTAACTTTTCAAGTGAACAACTGTCAATCATATCCAACAGTCATGCCTTGGTGAGCATTTCCCCGTCTGACTGGATTTACCAAAGTTCAGTAATACTAACGGCATGCTGTTTATAAGAGAAACAGAGAGAAAATATAGCTCAACGGTGCAAACAAGAGACGGATTGTAGCAACATGGTTTTATGAAAGATACATGCAAGAAAAACTTGACTGCACTGAGACCTGATGTGTAATGGTAAAAAAGGAAACAAATTAAAATGGAGGGGCGAACATCGAGAGTTCGAATTATCGAGGGTAATCTCGCGGAAATGCAGGGGATATCTCTACTGGTTCGATTTAACTCGAGAATTCAGTCAGTGAGGACCGAGAGTCGACGCTGCTATCTGACCAGCAAGTTGACATTCCCATCGAGTATTGCAGCTCCGTTAGATTTGATCTGGTAAGATTGTGGAAGCTAGAGTAAATAAAGTAACGATCTAGCGAATATTCTTAACTATCATACTCGTAACCATCGTTTTTCTTTAAAGAAAAATTACTAATCATCTGCCGACCTGAATTGTCATCAAACTAACAATCGTAATGAACTTGTGCCACAGAAAAAAAGCGTTGCTGCGTAACAGCTGAACAAAACATCTAAATTTGTCGCCACATCAATTATGCAAATTTTATAGTAGATTATCGATGGCTACGAATATTCTTGTCATTAAAATCCCCTTAAAAGTGAATTAGTATAGGTAATCACATGATTACGAGTGCAATTTGGAATAAATAAGCACGAGTAAATTTTTTTAAATACTAACAAAATTGCACGAACCCGTAGGGCAAGTGCAATTTGTGGTCTTTGAAAAAATTAACAAGTGCTTGTTCATTCCAAATTGTACGAGAAAAATCATGTGATTGCGTGTTAATAATATACATGGAAAATACGAGATGGCTTATCATAATTAATTATGATCAAATCGTGCGTTCGGTCAAAACAACCGTGTATGATCAAAAAAATAATATGCAATGATATCTTCACATCTTTCATGCGCAAAAAGGTTCAAAGTCCGGCTAAATAGTTCAAGAAATTGTTCAGTCTGTTTCCGAAGCACTTTCGATGAAATGGAATCGTCGTTTCCGAGGTTTAACCATGTTTGTTTTTAATTTCGGCGTTGCAGGATCGTTCGAGCAAAGTGTTAAGCTGGGTCGGCTCGCAATTTTCGATTTCCTTGGCAATTCCCTTCTCTAAACACCACTTTTTCCAAACCGACAACCAAAAAGCAGTGCTTTTTACAGTGTTTTCGTTGTTTGAGCTGTTTTTCAGCTGCGGTGGCGAAAGAAAACCTACTCAAAACGCCAGCCATGGTTTCGCTCGAAATTTTCAAATTTTCAAATTTTGTTTCGACATCCAAGGCTCGCATTTGATTGGCTATCTGTGAGTTTCTTTAATTGTTGACCAATCTGAATGTCTAAATTATTAATTTTTTTTGCACTGAATTAACCCTTTTCTGCACTGAATTAACTCTTTTCTGCACCGAATTAACTCTTTTCTGCACTGAATTAACTCTCTTCTGCACTGAATTACCTGAAAACTGTATTTATCTTAACCAATCAGAACTGAGTAATTTTTCCATGTATATTATTAATAATGAAAGAAGCTTGTCGGGATAAAAAAGTAGCCTATGTATTTTTTACTATCTCAATATATGTCTCGCTCTACGTCTACGTATCGAGCACTGTACAACGAAAAAATCGAAACACAGACTTCCTATGTATATATATATATATATATATATTGTCACCATATTCCCACCAATAGCATAGCTTCATTTTCTGCATATGAACCCACACACAACCCTAATTCCTCCAATCGCTCTATCGCAATCGGTTAGCACGTTCGGCCGTTAACCGAAGGGTTGGTGGTTCAAACCCACCCGGGGATGAATTTTTGTCAATCCTTAGTGGTGAAAGCTTATTAGATCCTGTTAAGACCACTTGAAAAATTTTCTTATCATTTTTGTAGTCGACTCTGAATCCTTTGGATCCTTTTGCATGCCTGTCCTCTTTTTTCTGATTATCTCAAATTCGTAGGAGCACCACTATTTCTATGAACACGTGCAGTTGACAAGTATTTTGTTTCTCACATAGATGTGTGAATTCGATTTTATTGCTAGGACACTCGATAGGGTCTGGATGTCTGAGCAATAGGAATAATTATCGTAATATCGACAAGTAATATATTTGAACTTATTTCACATGAGGCTGGGTTCACTCGCGACCAAGTTAGAGTTGGATAAAGAAAACATTTGCTCGCGAATAGGATTTTTATGCTTTTTTCCCCAATTATTAATGTTCTATTATTGTGATAATTGCTGATATATGTTAGTCACGTGTAGAGAGCGTTGCATGACAATGCAAGATGCGTGACAGGCCTGGTTAAGGGGTGCGAGTATTGCAATGTATTGACCCCCCACCTTTTGTGGAGTCTAATACTCGTGACAGAATTCACAGAGTCATTCACTTCAGATTTCTTCGCAAGTGACACGTTTGTTTGTACCCCACCTCCTCCCCTTATTCCAGCCACATGTCTTTGTTTTAGCTCAAGTTAATAGTTGATTTTGTTGGCGTTTTTTTTCAGCCCTCACCTTAACTGGGCAAGCTATTTTTCCCAGATTCAAATATTTTGGGTAATAATTGATTCAGTTTTGATTACTGATTAAACCGGCTTTGGGCCTTTGCCCTTAGCCATTTTTACTCTAGATCAATGTGTTTGTGTGATTTTTATGTGCCCAGTAAACGAGCCCGGGAGATGCAGCCCAGTATTTTAGTTACTTAGCAAGCTGGATAGGGGGAAAAAGCTTAAAGCGATATGATTTAACGAAAATCAAACCTACGGAATCAGAAGAAATGCTGTCCCCTACGATTTAGTGAAAACTGGACCGTCGGATTAAAAGCGATCGGATGGTTTATTTTTCCAACTCTGCCTGCGACTCCGACAATTCCATTTTCACTGAGTCATAAGCTTTGGAGTCATGAGAGGAATCGGAAGTATATGGAACTGTTCCGATTCTTCTGACTCCGATTCCGGCCAGCTTATGACACCGCTTACGACTGCGATTTTCGATTTTCATTTGGTCGAAGGCGCTCTTTCGACTGCGACTACGACTAAGACTCCGTCGCCTGTGAAAACCAGCTTTTATAGAAGGCGACGGGTGTTGTGAACCCAAAGGGGGAAGGAAGGGTAGGCGTTTCCCAAAAATTCAAACCTGTTTTCGTAATTTTGAAAGAAATACACGGATATCAAAAATTTGGACAAACCAAATTTTGTATGGTGATTGTTATAATTAATTGATCTGATGTCGTCTGCATCCTTACTCATAGGTGAAATGATATCAGCTCTGAGGCATAACATATGTTAAGAGCGATAGGTCAAAGATCTTAATAAACTTAACGAAATTCGACGGATTCTTTGGTATTGCTTTTGCCTTGAGCCAATTATGTTTCCAGACACGTGAGATGGACGGCCTGCTTTGCTGTCTTTCGTGTTGTCCGCGACTATGAAAAGCTTTTTATCAGCTACACCTGTCATGCGATTCTTGCTCTAGGTGATCACTTGAGCCAACAAACTTATATCTTATAGCTCGTTGTACAT